CATGGATTAACCATGGTGGTTTGGACAGCAGGGTCTTATGTATTATGACATCATATGCCTCTATCAGAGCATTTATTTGATTTCTTTTAAATTGTATGAGGAATATCTCATCGTTTTCAACTTCGGATTGAAGCCTCTTGTGTGATGACATTCTTCCTATGCTGTCATCCTTCTCTTTACTTTTGAAAGTAAAATTGGGGATGTTTTTCTGACTCATTTTGATTTGTTTCCTGTGTGCACCCCCTTGACATCAAAATCTCTCAACATTTCTTTTCTAAATTGATTTGCACACATATTTAGGTATTTTTGAAAACCATTTTGTACAATGCTAATGCTGAATCAGTGGAACCACCCTTGAATTATCTCAGGTTTTCATCATTTTCAGTTTTTTCTTAATTTTGAATAGAATATCTCCTCCATTTTGTGACATGTTTCTCTGAGTTTGTAGTGCTCTAACAGAAGCCTCAAGTTCTTCAAAAAATGATTGGCATGTCACACTTATTTTAACTAATGTCCCTTTGTCTTCTTTTTTAAGAACATAATTATGGGCATCTTCTGTGGTGGTTACTTGTACAGTTTCCAGCAAATTGATTTGAGAAACACACCAACCCCCCACATAGGCTATGGTGCCTTTCCCATAAGGGGTGTTGGGAAAACTGCGTTTATCATCTAGAAAACTGTTGATCAAGGGTGAAGCTTTTTCCTGTGCAATGTTTCCTGCTATTAGAGATTTTACATTTTGGCATGCCATCTCCTGATACCTTGGTGAACTAAGTCATGTGATCATTTATATCCAATCAGAATGCATTTCTGCCACATAGTGATAGCATAGTGATCCAAAGCTAAACCAAGGTGTAGGAAGGGTTTATATTATCATATAGAAGGGGTGCACTTTTCTAATTGGCCATGCTTGACATGCATGTTTGCAAACTTGGTACTTACATCAAGAGCTCTGACTGGCATCCTAACAAAATAAATTCATACTACACTGATGCCTGGGTCACATTTGCTCCGTTTGTTCAATATTGTATTCAATTTTGAACAAAATACTCAATCGGCATGGCGCCGAAGTGAAAATCGGAGCAATCTGCATTACTTGTAAATAGTGTATACTGTATACCAATAGCCCATTTTCAGCATAGCAATTTCTAAGAAGGGTTTCCAAAATGCTCCATCATGGAATACCTTGACCCTCTTACATTGTAAGTTACATGATAGACACAGACATGTTTCTAGATGCGATGTGTACCAGAATGAAAGCTCTGGCTTTTTCCTAATTTTGCGGGAGGGTGCAAAGTACTTTCTTGATCATTAAAAATAAATGTCATTGTCACAGGAACTCTGCATTTTATGTAAATCCATTGAATATTTATCTGCATGCTCAAAGTTAAGTTAAGAAGATCAGATTCTTTACAACACTTGATCCAAATCTATTTGATATTCAAAATCTAAGTAAACCTCTCTAGTTGAAGAACCAACTATTTATCATATTACTCAGATTGGATTAATCAATATTCTCATACTTTCTCTAGTTTGTATGAATGAATGACCCTGAACATCATGTGAAAGACTTCTCAGAAAATGTGCCCAATATATTACTCTTAATCATACATGTCATAGGAGCTTTGAAATTTTGAAAAGTTGTCTGAAACAAAAATTGTGATCATAAAAAGAGAATGGATTGCTTTCTAAAGCAGTTTCTCATTTTTTCTATTTTTAGGAATGAATTCATATTTTCAAAAGCTTCTATAAATTCAAATAATATATTTGGCACACTTTCTCAAAAATGCAATAGATTCTGTCTGGTGACCTTTCTAAAAGTCCAACTTTTAACTGTTTTTGAGTCACATTTTCTGAGTCACACTCCTCTGGTATACTTTCCCCAGTATGTATGAATCGAAACTAGGTTAATTTCCCATGTGCCTAAACCAATATTTTATTGTTTTATTTACTTTCTGTGTATGTGTGTATGGACTACTATTTATATTTTTCCAGTGTATATATGAAACAATAAATTTTAACTGTGTGTATTGACAAATATCATGTACTTTCTCCAGTGTGTATGAGCAAATATTATGTACTTTCACTAGTTATTTAACCAATACTCTGTACGTTCATACACACTGGAGAAAGTACATAGTATTTGTTCATACAAAATGTGTGTTCATAAACAATGGAGTACATGATATTTGTTCATACATACTGGAGAAAGTATATACACAGGCGTGTTGGTTCATGTCCATACTGGAGAAAGAGCGTAATGTCTCTTCATACACATTATATATATCGTTTGTTCATACTTCAGATTCTCTTCAGTGACCTTTCCTGGGCACCTACTCTTAGTTATTTTTCAGTCACATTTTCAGAGGGCTGAAAAGGTTATTTCATCATGTTTATGGTCATTCTGACCATTTTCCTTGTGTTCCCAGTCATGTAAATGATATGTGGAACTAATTAAACTGAGTGGAGGTCCAAACAGAACTCTGTTATCTTGATTCAAAAAGTGTTCAAAATCCAGCATGGTTTTGACATTTTTTGTTTTGTCATTTCCTGTTAACTTCCATAGCACTTTAATTTGCATTTCCAAGTAAGATTTTTTAGAATTGTGCCTGTTTGTGAAATTTAGTCAATAAACTAACCATAAATGTCTGCAATTATAGAAAAATCAATAGTGATTTTTTGGGCATTTTGGTAAAGCTTTTGGTTTGTAATGGGAAGATTGTCTATATCACTAGAACTGTTCTGCATGGGGTCTTTTGCACAATTGATAAATTATATACTATACTAATACAGTAAAACCTGCGTATAGTGAACAGTTTTTTGCCAAGAAAAAATGTTCACTGTTGGTAGGTGTTCACTATCAGCAATGATTTGATTTCGCGGCATTTTGCCGTATATATAAAGAGACCAGCTATTAAAAGAGAGGAGGGAATAATCAATTTAATTTGTATTTTCAACCCATATTAACCCATGGCACTCTAGCGTTAAGTATTTGATTTGTTGTCATGTTATATACAAACTGACTTATTTTAGACTGACTGTCATCTGAATGGTTCATCCTTTTATTGTCAAATTTTAATCTCTTTATAATTCTTTTTATCTCATCAAGATGGTCTTTAAACAGTGGAATCTTTGAGACATTTGAGTCACTTAAAGGACGTTATTGAATTAGTTAAAGGAAATGATAGATGCAGTTAATAGTGAAATGATCATGATTTATAATTTTAATCCAATCTTTTTTTTTAAATTTACGGGATGAGAAAAAGATTTAGTTGGGATTTAGCAGATAGAGGTAATAATAGTTAACCAGGGGGTCATTAACAGAACTTTCGCAAAGTTACGAATTCGTAATTCGTAACTTCATGAAATTTGTATATATTTAAAAAGTTACGAATGACTTACGAATTCGTAAAGTTACGAATTGGCCATTAACAGAACACTTTCGTAAGTCATTCATAAGTTTTATCGTTCGTAAACAAATTTCAAATTGTGACGTCATCCTATATCATTATTTAGCACAAATAGAAATATGATGTAATTTGATATTATTGCGCGCTGTGATTAAACCCGTCTCCGCGATTTCAAAGATTCCCAACTCAGGAACATATTTGCTTATCATGTAAGAATAGGTGGATATTTTAGCTTGAAACTTAGCATGCATATAAAGAACAAACTATTTTTGCCAACCTGTATACCTTACATAAGAACTGGACAAGAAATATGCCATTCGCAAAGTTATGAAAGGGTCTAAGGTGCTATTAAAGTTACGAACGAAAGCATACGTGACGTCATTTTTTCGTAACTTTGCGAATCGTTCGTAACTTTACGAAAGTTCTGTTAATGCACATTAACAAAATTCGTAAAATTAACAATTGACTTGCGAATTCGTAACTTTGCGAAAGTTCTGTTAATGACCCCCAGATTATCTCCAAGCAATCAATCCCAGACGCATATCCTTTGTAACAAAAACAAAGCTTATTAAGAATTATAATTAGTCACACCTATTTCAATAGAAGAGATCAAGATCTCAAATTGACCTTTCAATTATTTTTGGCAGGTAATATAAACATAAACTGCCTAACTCTGATAAGGCAGTTGCAGAAAATCCCCCTATTTCAATAGAAGAGATCAAAATCTCAAATTGACCTTTTAATTATTTTTGGCAGGTAATATAAACATAAACTGCCTAACTCTGATAAGGCAGTTGCAGAAAATCCTCGAGAAATCTTATATCTGATTCAATGTTCACTAGAGACAGGATAATTCAACTGATTTTGCCAAGATTTAGTGTTCACTGTTCATAGTTGGTAGGTGTCCACTATAGGATTGTACTTTAACATGGGAGTCAATGGGAGAAAAAGATTTTGCCGAATAAAAACGTTCACTGTTGATAGGTGTTCACTAAAGAGATGTGTTCACTAACTCAGGTTTTACTGTACATTACTATATAGATTTGCAATGTCTAGGTTTTATTCAAGTAACTGACTCCACTGAGTGTGTATTCAAATGTTGTGCTTATAAAATGTATAGACTCCTATACTACCTTTTGAATGAAAATAAACTCTTCCAAAAGTGATAAGACCTTAGTGCACCCATGCCATGGTAAGGACCTTAGGTTGGCATGCCAAAATGTAAAATCTCTAATTGCCTAAAAAGGCAATGCCATGCCTCAAATTCATGTGTTTTTCAGAATTTCACAATCAAACATAATAGACTTTTGTAGAGGTCACTGCATTTTGAAATGTCAATGGGATATTTTGATAAGGCAACTGAGTGAGTCGGGAATTTGTGGAGAATGGATGATTGATTCTATCGCACTGTTAAATTCTAATTTCTCATTGGTATTTGCAACCTAATACTTTCTTTTTTTCATTGATATAATAATACTGCTGATTTTTTCGTCTTCATGTTGCACATTTCCTTGGCCTACATTAGCATCATTTTCATCATTTCTTCATTATTTACATCATTGATGATGTTCTTCTTCTTCAGGTTTTACATATACAGACTGACAACATGCCAGCAGTTCTTCTTTGTGAAGATATGGTTTGTTATAATAAACATGTACTTCTGGATCATATTCTTTAGGGAGCACCCGGTTGAAGTTAGTAATTTGAAGGCCTTTCTTGGAGGAAGTTGTCCCAACTGCAACACCAATTTGACCTGGGGATGTTGTATGCCTACAGTCAATTATTACTCTATCAAGGGTCATGCCTTTTGCCTTGTGGACTGTAAGGGCAAATGCCAATTGAAGGGGCATTTGGGCTCTACAGCAAACCTTTGCAAGTCCCTCTGGTGCAAACTGCCGGATTTTTTGTTCATGAAATGTAACCGATCCAACATTTTTATTAAAATTAACAACTCATTTTTCATTACATTTCAGTACTATGCCTTGAAGGCCATTGACGATTCTTTTGTCATTGCTAGAGTTGGCGTGAATAATTACTTTTGCACTGACTTCTAGATAAATTATCATTTCCATCGGAGTGAGTAGGGTCACCTAACTGGCGAGAATGATAGTTCCGCTGTATATATTTTGTTAGAGCTAAGCTTAGTTTGAATGTGAGTTGTGCCTGAAAACAAAAATGGCCGCTTACCGTGATAATCCAGGAGAACTGCATCGTAAGTTTTTTGGATTTTCCCACTCGATTCCGGCTTCTACTCTCATCCCATGGGTGGCTTTGTAAGAATACAACTTGCCGGTAGCACGGAGTGGGTTTTGCTTTTCACCCAGTACAATGCAACATACATTATTCTTGATCAGTTGATATATTTCGTCTGCTCAACAAGTCTGAGTGTCTGGAGCGCTTTTCAATTGTTACTAGAGGGGTACAATAATTGACAATTGTGTACAGGACAAATCGCCATCTATTGCCAGTCACATAAATTGATCAATTCGATAAATATCCCATATATGTTCTAAAATAAGATCCTCAAGCTTAAAATTATTTAAATTATGGGAACGTAACAAAAACCACAAACCTTTGAAGAACTACTTACTTGTTAACGGAGTATGGATATGACGTAGAACTACTTTCTCTTCAGATTTGACACTGTTTTTTGAAGAATTCCATTAATGACTCCAATACACCTGACATAACAATAACAAGGAACACAACGTTTCAATTTTAGGTAATTTTGCACATACTTCTGTGATAATTTTTACAAAATAATAACATTTTAAACGGGACTACATACTAGCAGTCGGCGTAGAGACATATACGTATCAAGGCTTGGAACTTTTTGCCTGCCATATTTGATTTGCCTTCCGACGTATTTAATTTCCATAATTGTTTTTATTTTGTTTGTTGTCCACATTTTAATTTGTTGAATTAGACTACATATGAGAGTTAATTTTGCTGGATAAAGAGTGGCTGTGTTACTGATCGCTATTAGGAGGTAAACTTTAGGCTAATTACTATATCTAGTATAATCTAATAATGCCTACCATTTTTGGAACGAAGCGTGAAACTTTGCATGAGACATTTTTTTGGTCCACTAGAACGATAAAAAAAATTACAATTATTCCCTCCTACCACCAAATCCTGGGGGTGGGGGTGAGAGAATTTTTTTCTTTTTAAAAATGTGTTTGAATATACTCATATTGCAGTTTTAGTATGCTTTTAGTATGCTCAAAATAATAACTAAGATTACATAAGCATTTCTCATGGATATCCATTGTAAAAGTCTGACTGGGGGCGACACCCATATTATCAACAAGTTAAGTGTGCAAGTTAGTGAATCTTCCGATTATGAGTAGGAAAGTAACCTAGTATAGCTGAACAGAATGGATAAGGTTTAATCAGTTAATGATATTTATATAATATATGCTATAACAGAGACAATTCTATTGTTAAAGGCTTGTTATTGGCCACGCCCACTTTTAGTGATTAAGATATAATATTTGTTAATCACAAATATAAATTGATTCTGTTAGGTTTTAATGAAAGTACTCTCTGACTAGTTGATCAGTTACCTTGTTAAGTACCCGTAAGCACTCAAGTATTATATATGTCATTATTAATAAGTGGTTGTTATGTTCACATTCCCCATTACACAAACGCAGGGTGGTACATTGAAGATTGGCTTTAATAAACTTGCAGCGTTTAGTTGAACATTGTTGCTTCCACATTGGAACCCAAATCATTTTTCCAGTCTTGGTGTTGATTGATTCCCAACCCCATTGTGAGGGTAGTTGATACAACACCAAGAAAATGCATGATGGGGCTCCCAGAGGGTATACACATTTTTCACCAAGTGCTTTTTTTGTAGTTTATGCATGTAGACACATATACCCTATGGGAGTAGAAGTTCTGCTCGATTGCCGATTTTCGAAACTCTTTTCTAACTTCACAATTCGAACTTCGCATCTTTTGCAATGCTGTATAGTAAAAACAGAATATATTCTAATAATTAATGAATAAGGGTGTGTTCACATATAAATATTCTAGGGGGGATCTAATTCTCTGTCCATACACACTCTGATCATTTCAGGGGGAGGAGCTGATATATAGGGTCCCGGTATAGGGTCAAAATAGGGTGTGATTAATATCAGAAAGAACAGGAAAATCCGGCAACAGCCATGAAAACAAAACTGGACATGAATATTCTTAATTAAATTAATTCCTAGGCTACTTGGAAATTTTTCTGAACTCAAGTTGTCAACTTGAGTTCAGAAAATTTGAGGCTCAAGACCAATTATTGACCATGGACCGGCATTGGACTAGATTGGGGTATGGGCTAAAGAAACATATCATCTTATCAGCCTATAGTCAGTTCAGGGTATTGGGATGATCCCTTGGCGATTATACATCACAAATTTCTGTTATATTTATGGTGCTGACAAGAAATTAGGCATGATTTTGAAAATGAAACTTGAAAGAATCTGAAAATTTTCATGGATTTTGTTTGGCAATGTTATTAATAAAATTACTACTATTTGACCTTGAAATACACTCTTACATACGGGTTATATATATTTTGCAAGTGGATCCAAGAGACCAAGTGGGCGAGTCAATTATTTTGCAGGGGTGGCATGATACACACATTTTTGTATATAGTGAATTCCCAGTGATTGATTTCAGTACAGTAAAACTGTCATAATGAACACCTCTTTAGTGAAGATCTGTGCCCAGTGAACACATGACTCTACTCTATTGAACACCTGTGTATAGTGAACACCGATTCCCAGCCAGTGATTTCAGTACAGTAAAAATATCATAATGAACACCTCTTTAGTGAAGATCTGTGCCCAGCGAACATATGAGTCTACTCTATTGAACACCTGTGTAAGCGAACACCAATTCCCAGCCAGTGATTTCAGTAACTTTTAGAGGGGACCAGCTAAAAGCGTTCGGATTAGGAGGTGTTCACATTTTGAAGTTTTGCATTTGCAAGATTTTGGATTTTGAAGAAATAGGAACAAATTCTCAATAAATATTTATAGTTCTTTTGACTACATAGCTTTATGTCAATACAGTGACATGAAAATCCGATTCAAATGAATTAAGTCATCCTAGAAAGCCCTATATTGTATGGAACATGTGATATTTTATGAAAAGTGTTCAGATTAGATAGGTTAATTTTTCAAACATGACGCTGTTCACTTCAAATTGGGAGGTGTTCACATTTCAAGGTTTTTTAAGATTTGAGTCAATGGGAGGATAACGGGACCAAAAAATGTTCAAATTGGGAGGTGTTTGGATTAGCCAAGTGTTCAGATATACAAGTTTTACTGTACGACAATCGTTTCCAATCTTTTTAAGGAAAGTGTACATCATTCCAGAGAAATGACAGGTGACACACTACCATGGGAACTGGTCATATCAGATGTTCCCAAGCTTTACATCCAGAAGAGGTCATTTCCCAGGGTTATAGATGAACCCTTGGCCAATCAATGATATAGTTTACATAAGAGAAGTGTGACTGTATGAATTCTGGGATATTCAATTCAATTATTTATTTCATAATTCTTATATAATATACACTATAAAAACAAGCCGCAAGACACCCTAGTGGGTATATGTTGCGGTTTAACAGAAATCATTAAAATGACAACTAGACTACATATAAAAGAAAACACTTATATTATGTTACATGTAGGTATATAAAAATGGTATTAACAATTAATCTAAGGATGTACAATGTAAAAATGTTACAAAAATCGGGTACCAGTATAAAATCAACAGTATAGTATGATATTGGTATTATACATTATCGATAGATGAGTAGTTTTTTATATGAAGATTTGAAAATATTTAGAGTGGAGCATTTTTTAATATCATGTGGTAGAGCATTCCAAAGATTAGGACCCAGATAGCGAAGGGAAAGTTTAGAGCATTTAGGGATATGAAAATAATGCAATTGTCTTGTGTAATGATGATGAATATTAATGTTGATATCAAACAAGTCTTGAAATAGATTTTTTGGAAGACTGGGGTGCTTATTAAAGATTTTGTACATGAACTGACCAGTACAATATCTGTTGACATCAAAAATATTTAATATTCTAAGATCTTTAAATAGGGGAGCGGAGTGAGAAAGTCTATCCTTATTTAAAGCTAGCCTTAAGAATTGTTTCTGCAGTTTATGTAGACGATCATAAAATGATTTAAATGTGTTACCCCAGATTATGTTGCAATAATTTAATTGAGAGTGTATCAATGAGTAGTAAATTGTTTTGAAACTGTCTATTTGAAGTAGATGTTTAATGTGATAAAGAGAACCAATGACGCGAGAAATCTTTGTTTCAACAGATTTTATGTGCTCTTTAAATTTCAAGTTTTTATCAATAATAATTCCAAGAAACTCAATTTTTTCCCGGAAAGTTATGTTCTCATTGCGTATTTTAAGATTCAGATTTGTTTGATTTTTTTGGGGTCCAAATAGAATAGCATTGGTTTTGCCAATATTAAGTGAAAGTTTGTTTGCTTTTATCCAGTCATCTATTGAATTCAAGTTTGCATTAGTTCTAGTCATAAGTTCATTTAAATCATAATCACTATCAAGAAGATTGGTGTCATCAGCAAAAATAATAAATTTTAGATTAGGGGCAACAAAAGGCAGATCATTTATGTAAAGAATAAATAATAGTGGTCCAAGTACCGAGCCCTGCGGAACACCACAATTTAGAGATGATTGTTTAGATTCATAATTGTTAATGGTGACATATTGTTTGCGGTCTTTTAAATAACTTTCAAACCAGGACTTAGCTATTCCTCTGATGCCATAATATTCAAGTTTTTGTATCAAAATGTCATGATTAATTGTGTCAAAGGCCTTGGAAAAATCTAAGGTTATGCCAATGCTCGTTTTCCCCAAATCAGTTGATTTTCGAATTTGTTCAATGAAATATAAAATGGCCATGTAGGTAGAGTTGAAATTTGAAGTTGAAATTCTGAATATTCCTGTTTTGTTGAGACAGATGAGAATAAAATTAACCCTTTGCAAAATTGATCAAAACTGCCTCCAATCATCCA